AGTCCAAATATTTATGAAGAGGATTTCTAAAAGCAGTGAACTACAACAACAAAAATTCTTTTCTACATTATTTTAATTATTTGAATTTTTGGTTGACCATATAACTGTTTCGAATATTGCCAAATATTCATCATCAGTGGTCTTGGAAAAAATTCTTTTGTTTAATTATTAGGAAATATTTTTTTTTGAAACTACAACTACTTAGAATCAAACTCGTGCCCTGCCAAAGTTGAAGGTCAGAGTCAGCTCTGCATAACCAACGAACCCAAAGCCGTACTTGACTTTTATGTTCACACATTTTTCTGCAGTTTTGTTACTTTGCTATGAAAATTTTATTAACAAATTTACCTGCTGTGTTATATTAGAACGAAATCATAAGCCAGGTGTAGAATAATTGAATTAATTAATTATATCTTTATTTTTAACTGTTAAATATCAAAACTATTTTAAATATTTATAAAAGCTGCTGTGAGGATTGTGTATATTTCCTTGAAACCCTCAAAATCTTTATAACGACTCATTGAAATAGCTGAACTCCACTAGCTCCCGTTCCCATTTTTTTTTCTTCAGCCAATAAATTATTTTCCGTATAGATACATCTTCTTAAAATTTGGGACGAAGTAGTGGCAAAGAGAGGATACAATTTAAACAATATTTTTTCTAAGTTAAATAATATTTTTTTCCTCAAAAGTGCTGATCACTAGAAGTTGTTATTATAATTTTTTTGTACCAAAAGTAATCTATATTCAAAAAATGCTATTAATTTTTTCTATACCTATAATACTATTCCAAATTGCGTATGACACTAGAATAATATTTCAATCAGAGGCGAGGCGTCGAATAGTTCAGAGTGTTCACTGAACACCTTAACAAAGCTTCCTTTTTAGATCTTTTTTATATTAAGTAAATAATCTCGCTATTTTGCTATTTAACATTTTTTATAATAGCTTTTCCAAACATGTTAACATAAACAGAAAACGTATAATACAAACAAAATCACACATACATTTTTTAGTTACACCCAACATTACTTATAATTAATAAAATAGAAATAATTTATTTCAAATAAATTTCTCTTAAAATATAATAAGGTTCAGAATAAAAAATGCACCGCACTGCTTACAAAGCATGCCAATGAAATAACATTCACATTGGGACTATGTTCAGTACTGAATAAACACAAAACATACAAACAAATATAAAAATAAAAGAGAAAACAAGCCCCGCAAAATAAGTACGTAAAATAATTATAACTCTTACATTAATGCGTGCAAGCGGTTCAATAAAAAAAGTGAACTTCCAATGTTATGCAAAGTAAATACAAAAGAGAAAAAAAATGACTGAGCGAAAATCGCTTTACATTTGACTAGATCAACCTAACTAAACCATAAGATCATACAAAGCGTGCAAATACAATCAAAGTCACGGTTGCCGTTTTATATGAGCAAATGGTTCAGTAAAAAAACCGAACCGCGCTTAGTAAATACAAAGTAAAAGAGTAAATGAATGCATGAGAGTTTCTTACACTTATGTAGTGGTTGGAAATAAACCCAAAACAAAGTCATTATTGCAATTTTATACTAGCAAATGGTAAAAGTAAAGAAAAAAATTAAAGAAATTTGAAGTGGAAAATAATATTTAGAAATGGATAAATGTGTGATTAAAGATTTGATTCAGATATCTTTTTTTTAAACAATCTTCTGAAAAATGGTTTTAATTCATAAAATGAATAGACTAACTCCAGATATGAAGAATTTGGTACCTGTTGTAAAAATGTCGAAATCTGTGATAAGTCGCCGTTTTCCTACAGGTATTTACCATAAAAATCACAGGCTGCGAACATTTAAATATATTGTTTTGTTGGTCTTGTACGCTATGTGCTTGTGGGAAGGACAAAACTCAGGAGTAGGTAGAATACGTTATAGTTGGAATTCAGTTTTGATCAAATTGTGAACACCTTGCCAAAAAGCTGACGCTTCGCTACTGATTTCAATATACAACCGACCAAGATATTTGAAGCAAAACCTAATTTCCTACTCATCATTTGATTCAAATTACAAAACAAATATCGTATCATATTATCGTATTATTAAATATATATTATATTATTTAATACGGCATTAATTTATTTGCTGCTACTATTTTAAATTTATAACAATTCATGAAATTTATAACATGTCCTAACATGTATTATAATATTATAATTATAGTAATATGTTCCAGGAAATGAGGCCTATATGAGGCCTATATAAAATTATGGACAAACAAACAAGCTCCTAATATTTTAGTCACGCTACACAAACTACCTGAGCATCAAAATAAAGGAAAAATTTTAATGCCACGTTGACAAAAAGTGAACTATCCTCTAATTTGTTTTTAATTATTGTGGATATATTTGGGATAATTGAGTATAAAAGAAACTGAGAAACTAAATATATACATCAGTAAATTATTGACTACACATCAGATAACAACGAAAACTAAAGTAATCAGTATCTTTAGCAATTAATATCTTCAAATATTTTATTAAAATAATAAAAATAAATAAATATGAGTAGTTTTTCACATCTACACATTTCGGAAAATTTTACAATGCTCCGTGTTAAACCGATTGATATAACCGGCCTGATATTGACAAGTATCATTTTGGAACTGTTGAGACATACATGGAAGTTTTTCAGTCGTTTTCAAATTAATAAAACCAAAGAATGTAAAACATGGACTACTATCAACGTTACGAGGACTCAAAGAATAATAATGGATCAAACACCAATGTTGAATATGCCTCTTGATATAGGGAGTGCTGAATTCAAACCGGAATATTTGTATGGTGATAACAGGATAACTTTGGATGATATTAAAACACAGATAAGAATTCGTCGCTTTTCACGCTGCCGTAGAAGATTAATTTTTACCTAAGAAGATTATTGAAAAATTATTAAAAATAATTAAATTGAAAATTATAAGTTATAAATTAATTTTGTAAAAGTTAAAATTTGTAAAAAAATACAACAAAAATAATTTGTTAAATAAATAATTTATGTTAAATAAATTAATTAAATATATTTCTTATAACCGAATGATGATTTTTTTTAATTTAATAATATATATTTTTATTCTATTTAGAAATCAGTTCAGCTTTCCTAACATATATTCCCAATGTTCATTTGAAAGAGTCTCGTCTTTAATTATTTGTTTGACTACACTTGAGTCCGAGATCTGATTTTATAGTACATATTTTGAATTTAATTTTATTTTGGGTTTTATTGGCATTGTTTTCTTTTATTGCGTACCATTTAATCTGATAATTAATATATTTTTTTGGGGTCTATTAACATTCTTTTCTATACTTACGATATCCATTATCCAAATTGCTTCAATTTAAATAGTGTCTTTCTTAACTTCGCTTTTTAAAGTCTAATTTTATTCAATTTAAAATTCATTTTTATTTTAAGATTTGTTAAGTATGATCGGAAAGTTATCAGTCTTCTTTCATTTTTTTTCCACCAAATCTTAAGTCTTTCCATTATTTTTCTAAATCTATAACTGTCATTTTTAGTTAAACTTTATTGTTTATGATATAGTTTGTTAATGGTATTTCAAAGATTCATCATTGCAACTATTCGAAATGATATCGACTTTGATATCATATTTTGATATATTGAGCAATTAACTTTGATCTTATAAATTAAATGTTATATTGAGCAATATCTTTTTATGCCATACCTAACTCTGTTTTTTAATCATTATAGGAAACAGAATTTTTAGCATTATTTTTTCGAATCTTTAAATGTTTCTTTAGCTCTGAATGCTGCCATGAGAAACATATTAGTAAAAGCATAGGTCTAACACTTAAATGGATACACATTTGACTAGATGACATAACCCATTAAAAAATTTGCTTGTAATGCAACTCTGAAAGCCTTGAAAACTCTAATAAACAAGGACAGTTGACCCTGAAAAAGAAAACGTTGCTTTATGAGCATATTTTATAATTTATACTTTATACTTTATGATTTTGTCTCTTATGGCAATGCCGCTTCATCTATCTTTAGATAACTCATCAAAATATTGTATTCGGATATATTTTAAAAGTATTATAATATATATTGAAGATACAGACTTGGGAATGTACTACACTTCTATTAAATTATGTGAATATTATCATATTTCTACGGAACACTTGTTATAGTGAATCGCCCAAGTGATCACAGACACTATTGAGTAGGCGTGCTTTAGACAATAACTCTCATTTCAACCAAAAAATTAACTTTTCCTAGGAGACTGATATTCATTCATGTTTTACTTTTAGTTTTATATTTCTTTTAATCGTTCTGATGCTGATCATATTCAATAGATATGTTTAAATATGTAGTCAGCTATTAATAATGATTACATAAACTGGTACCCATCTATGTAGCATCACTTAAAAATTAATATAACTTATTATATATATTTACAAATGTCATAATAATATTATATATATATAAAATTATATATATATATGTCATAATATATGTTAGATTAGATAAGATTATGCTGGCAGACCAAAAAGGCCACACATAAACCATTAAGGTCCATTGCGATACCAGATCAGAGTCTTATTTTAGCGATTGTATGCATCACCTAGGATGCGCGTTTCATTAGGATTCCAACAGAAACTTCAGGTATATGCTCCAGTCCTGCAAAACTGACAGCCTCCAAGTATTTTTGTCGAGTTCTCGAGAGAGCCAGGCAATGTTATATATGTTATAATAATTTATGTGTATACTTGAGGAAAACATAATATGATCTTCTAACTATTTTATTACAGACATATATAAATGTATGCAATGTATTACTAAAGTATGTGTTTACTAGACAGATCTTATGCTTAACAAGAAACCTATTGCCCTGATCGCAATAGATTATTATTCTCTTTTACGTTATAAACTGAACAAATTTTTTAATTAAAGTTGCTGAAATTATATATAATATTAACACTTTATTATCTTTTCTAGGCTGTTTATATGAGCACAACGGTTCCACAAAATATCAAAGGAAGTAAAATCGCTGGACGGCACACACCTACGAGAAATAGTTTAAGGCACAGTAGAATGCTTGTCGTCAACAATAAAACTCAGCAAGGTATTTTTATAAATACCTTTAATTTTAGTATAGTGAACTTTTATCTAATATTTAAAAAAATAATTATTTCAACTATCGTTACTATTTTATTTTAATTAATATCGTATTTAATTATTACTTCAAAGATAGTTCCAATCAATATACTTTTTATAATAATTTCAAAGCGGAAATAATTCGTTTTAAATTGGTTTATAATAATGAAACTTAGTCGTCAATACGTGGTAACATTCTAGTTAGTATATATGAGAATAAAAATATAGAAATTATATCAATTAATATTAAATTGTTTAAAAACAAAGTAAAGAAAGAAAAAGCAATTTCATTGTAATATAAAACTAAACCGAAAAACCTAAAAAATTTGAAAACACTCTTATAATTCGAAGCTAACCCATCTACATCCAAATTTAAACTGGTCAGATCAGTTTTGAATAAATTTACCTTATTATTTAAATATAATATATAATAGATATATGTTAGAAAACTATTTGTTGTCATTAAAAATATATATCTGAACCATCAATTTGCTATCAAATATTCTCAATTCTTATTACTTATCACATTTCAACTTTAAAACTTTTAAAAAATAATAAAAAGAAAACAAAAGTGGATATTAATTTTAATCATTCCGATACTCAAGACATATTTCTGGAACTGTGGTTCCCTATTTTATAGCCTTGCACATATACAATTCATTATACCAGAGATGCATAAAGTATATTTAAATAATACAGTTTATTTTTTTGTCGAAAAAAGGTGTGGAACCACTGCTTTTAAAGAAACAAAAAAAAATATGCCTCTAACTATTCAGACGTCTTATTCAAATCATTCCAAATATAGCGCCAAACATAAAAACTACATTCATACTACGGATATATGTCTGAAGTAAATATAAATATCAGTATTATATCGTTACTAGTTAAAAATTTACCATACTATATTTATCAGGTCTTCGAACCGGAACTATTTTTATTCCAGTTCTGTTCAAAATAATATCGGTTCAATTACGATTTTCGCTTCACCAAAAATTTAAAATTCTGTTATAAATTTTTTTTATAAATAATTTTATTTAGCTTTCTAAAAGTTATAGTATAGAAAGCATAGTTTATTTAATACAAAAAAAAACTACTAAAGTTTTCAGATAAATAGTGTTTAGACCTTTTAATTTTTATTGATTAAAATTCTAACAACTAACAAGAGAAAGATAAGCATATATAAAACAGTACCCAACAGTTTTTATCTGTAGAAACAAATCTGAGGTATCTAAACTAATATCTGTCTTTACGGGACACTGGTCCATAGGACGGCATGGAGCTAGACTCTGCCTTTCCTGTGGTACCTCTTGTAGTGCGTGTCTACCAGCCCTTGAAGAAATGACACCAGAACACCTGATGTCTTTTTGTCCAGGTCTGGCCAGAACTAGGTTTAACTTTCTGGGGGCCCCCTTCTTCAATTCACTTAGCGATATCTCCAGCATTAGCATTAGCCAGATTCTAGCCTTTGTTTATGTCTCTGGCTGATTCTAGTTTCACCCTCTATCTACTACCCACTAACACGAGGTTTTTTGTGGATTCAAAACGGCTTCTTCTTTAGCTAATTGAGGAGGACTCGTCCTCCTTCGATCACAACTAACTAACTAACTACCCAACAGTTCGACACTGAACTGAATTAAACTGGTATATTTTATTTAGTTCGATTTCGGATTGCACTCCGTGCAAAATATCGAATAATTTTGGTTAGCAGCTTACGATTCAGTTCTGGTTCGAAGGCTTGGTATTTATAATCTATTGAAAACATAGATATTAAACTGGTATATTTTATTTAGTTCGATTTCGGATTGCACTCCGTGCAAAGTATCGAATAATTTTGGTTAGCAGCTTACGATTCAGTTCTGGTTCGAAGGCTTGGTATTTATAATCTATTAAAAACATAGATATATCAATATAGTTAGTTAGAAGTAGCAATCTTATATACCGGACTTCCTTTGCTTAAAAATATTGACACGGTGTAATATATAACATATGATATGATATTAATATGAACTTTAAGCATGATATATTTATAAAGCAAGTCTTTATATATATAAAAGTGCAACTGTAAATAAAGGCTATTTATATATAATTTAATTCTATTAGTATTAATGTCAATATATATTTAGTAATATAAATACTAATACAATTTTATGTGTTTTTTAAATTTAGTTCTATTACCTTAAGTTTCAATAATAGATTCACAATATATTGTTAAGAAAATATATACATTTTATTACATATATGGTACAATATTATTTTCTTTCCGGTACACAACATTTTTTAAAAATGTTAAATTAAACGATATTAATTTATTATAGAATAGTTTAGTGTTTTTTTTAAAATATTTACATAAAATGAATTAGTTTTATTATAAAATTTAAATTTTCAAGGTGTTCAACATCCAAATCCAATGAACTTTAAATTTCCAAATCTGGTTCGCTGGCTTTTGATATTGGAAATTTTAATTGGTTTATTCGTAACATTCCTATCGATTTGGGTGTTCTTTTTGACACCAAATACGGCAATACAAGATAATCCATATTGGAGCGGTTTAGCTGTAAGTATTTTAATTTAGAATATTATTAATTTTAAATTATTCATGATTAATTTACTTTAAATTCTTCTCGGATGAAGCTACTACTTGCCGGTATTCTTGGACTTGTGCTTGTACGTTATAAGCGTATAAAACGCAACAAGTTACGTGAAAATTGCTTTATTTTTCTGCGTGCCGATTTATATATCTTGTCATTGCTGGCGGTGCTACTATGTATACTGGCCGTGATTTGTGCCTCTATGCACTATGCGCGTCTTACTGCTTCTGACACAAAATGTGAAGCCACACTTATACTCCAGGAAGAAGGCTCATGTACATGTACATTCCATGCCGATGATGAAGCATTATCTGCAGTTAATGCAGTATCAAATAATGAAAGTGCGGTGCCTGAAACTGTTGAGAATCGTAGTTATAAAGTAGAATATAGGTACGCATTTATTGTATAAACATATATTTAATTCTAATAATTGATTTTGTTAATTATATATGGATAATCCAGAGAATTGAGTTGTGACGAAGTCAGAGGCAAATGGACTACGATACTGGGACTTTCAATTGCTTCTAATACACTTGGGTTTATAATTGCATTGGCTCTTATCTTACTGCTTGCCTGTTACAGACATAATTCAAAACGTATTTATGCGTCCGTCCACACAAGTACCTTTTAACACAATAACCATTTTATTTTAACATGTTTTGTATGTAATGTATTTGTAATTTTTTTAGTATTATGAACAAATGAATTTATGGGGGATTAAACAAAAGCTCAATCTGTACTTAATTACGACATTAATTAGCAGAATGTAATTCGTTAGTACTTCGGTTATCTCTTTTTTAAATTAAGCATTTAAATTTTTTCTTTATGAGAAAATTTGAACATTTTATTAACAATTAAAATAACATTTCTTACATTAGTTTTTAAGTATAAAAATGTATTTATTTTTTGATAATCTTTAAATAATTAATAATACATTTTAAATATTTTTTATATTTTGAATATATAAAATTTAAAACTATATTTGAACATTCAGTTTTACAATAAAGAAAAATTAATGTAAACTTGAAAATGCAGTGTCTCGAATTTTTAGAATGAGTTTTTAATGGCATATGTTTTTACTTAAATTTAATTAATAATTGATTTAAGTTATTTGCTAATATAAAAATATGTAATTTATTTTAAAATTATTTCAGCAGGAGGCAGTATGCTGTCACCGTACAGACAATACCAAATACTTGAATACCAAATTGTACGATCTACCCACTCACTACCAGCTAGAACGTGACCTATGTACGGTAAATCACGAGATCTGAAAAATATTAATAATTAATTTTAGTATAAAGTTTAGTGTGTATCAGAGAACTACAACGAGTCATAATTTTAATACTCAAAGTGCACTCATAAAAAACCAAATCTATAACGAAAACTATGAGGTGTTTATGAGCATCACATGTCAGCTGTTTGTAAGAATCAGGTGGAGTCGAATATACGAAAAATAGAGCCAGAATGCATATAAATGAAACACAGTCGAATATGATTCGAGTATGATTCGAGTGTTGAGTACTCATTGCAGTTATCTTTTGTATATATTATAAATGTAAACTCTACCTTAAGATTTGTGTTTGGTTGCGTTCAACAAAAGTTATTGCCCAACTCCATGGAAAGTCCCGCTTCTTTTCACAGCCCAAATAAGCTGTACTGCTGTGCAAAAATATTTCACGCACAATTGTCGTTTTATCATTTTTATCCTTTTTCGAAACAACAATTTTACCATCACGTAATTCACACTGATACGATTTGAAGGACTTTGTACGATTATCTGCGAATTTTAATTCTTTGCCAGGTGTGACGGTAGCCAAATTCTTAACTGCACGATCTACCTCACGTAATAAATCAACTGGCTTCACAACCAAATAATTATTTTTCCGATCATCTTCGGGCCAATAAGACCAGTTGAGCACAACTTCAAATACTTTAGTATCATGATGAAGTGGACGTTCTAAATTGTCATTCAATATAATCTCATGTAACGACACCTGATGTGTGGACATATTCATTTTGGGCGCCAGTTCTTGACATATCTCGTAAGCAGTTTTGGTGGGTGATATGGTGACATTTATTTGCTTTTTTTCCTGTATAATTAAAAAAAGAATCATTTTTATTATTTGCATATAATTAATTTAAAATGTATATATACATACCTCAGTTAAATTTTCTGGGCTTGGATTTAATGTAATCCACATTTTGAGATCTCCAGACTTTTTAACTGAATCCATAAGCGTTTCAGCGGCTGCATAATACTTCTGTAGGCATAGAAGCATTTCCTGTTCTTTTTTCTGCAATTAAAAGAAATATTAAAATATTGCTAGACCTTTTTATTTAATATATTGTATATATTTAATTCAAAATATATTTGCCAAATAGTATATATAGAAATGTCGCAATGTTAAATAATTGAAATTAGTTGGATTATTTATGGAAGAGTTATAAATAGTTGTCTGTTTTATAGTGGACTATAAGACTCTAGACTCTTCATATGGTCACATTCTGTTAACATAATTTAAGGGGCACACTAGTTGTTTCAATAGACCTATCGGGAAGCTATTTTGTCATTTTAATGTCTTTAACTTTTCTTATTGTTAAAAAGGAACAAACTCTTTTATAACCTGAACTACATAATAAATTAATATCTATGGAAATATCGCAGCTCTATTTCAGGAATAAAGCTTCAAACACTACTTATACTCACTAAAATGGCTACTACAAAACCTACATAAACTAACTATATTTGGTATCAATTAGAGCAATAAATCTATGCGTACTTTACAGATTAACCTAACTAACAAGATGTTGAAATCAAAGGCTAGGGAAGCGATAAAAGTGCTTAGTTATCCGTGGAGCAGTCTAAAGTGTGAAACTGAAGGTCATTGATACTGGAGATGCAAAATTCAAGTATCACCACAAAAAGGATAACTTTTGTGATGAAGACAACGAGTTCGAAACCACATAATGATAGTCAGCCAGTCCCTTAATTAAACAAAAAATCTGTATTTGATACTCCTTCCTATGAAAAACGCTCTACTTTCGAAAATACATAGATTATTCATTTAGACATCAAATATTTAAATAATTTTAAATTTAAGTATACCCTCACTCAATTTTAATAACAAATATTTATAATATGAGTCTTTATATTTACCATTTCATCGACTGATAGCGGAAATAGATTCTTATATAGTAAAACTAAATCAGTCAATACATCAGCTTCTTTTGTTGAGTAAACCAGTTCCTCATTTCGCTAAAAAAAAAACCAAAAAATAAATATTATTTAAAGTACAATTTGGAGTTTATGCTTTAACTTACACGACTATGTAGAAGCGTAGGCCCCCAAATCATAGTTAAATTTTGTACGCTCATTTTGTTTTTAGACTTTTGCGAACTAATAAATGCTAAATGGCTAACAATTTTCTTTAAAGTTTCACGTTCTATTGTACCAAGTCTTTGCAGTAACTCCTTATAGACTTCAATTTTTTCAGTGGGTTTGGCTAACTCTGTGACGCATATGAAACTTTCAGAAAGTTTGCCCAGCAAACGTTCAGGAAGATCACGCATAAAACGTTTCAACACATTGGCAACATCATGTTCATTATATTCATTTCGTGTGATCTCCACGTTGAAAGCATCTGTTCTGAATGCTGACATTAATTTCACAATAGAATTTTCAGAGCCCGATTTTCGATAAATGCCCTCAGACATGGAGCCATGTATGTATACAAAATTAATGCACTTATCCACAATTACTGGCACATTGAATTTAGTCAATTGTTGATCGCTCAATGAGAATCCATTATTATGTGCCACTTCTCTTATGATGTGACGCCATATTTTGGTCTCCCGTGGTGAACTCATTATCATATATACAGTAAATGGTGGACAATCAATCATAAGTGTGGGGCCCGATTCAACGTGTAACTTTTTAATAGTCTCATCGCTATCTTTTAATACTGTAAAATAAATCAATAATTATTTATTATATTTTATTAGTTAATGTTAAAATATAACTAACCTATGCAGCGTGCTTTTCTTAAATCCATTTT